GTCCCGTTGACATTTGAAAGTGTTGTCCAAGCCACAGGAAATTTCAATGCTGGCAACTGCATTGGGAGTGGAGGTTTTGGGGCAACATACAAGGCAGAGGTAGCACCAGGAGTCTTGGTGGCAGTCAAACGACTTGCAGTTGGACGTTTCCAAGGTGTTCAACAATTCCATGCGGAAACCAAGACCCTTGGGAGGCTTCATCATCCTAATCTTGTCACTCTGATTGGTTATCATGCTTGTGAGACAGAGATGTTTCTCATATACAATTATTTGCCTGGTGGGAATCTTGAAAAGTTCATCCAAGAGAGGTCCACAAGGGTTGTGGATTGGAGGATTCTTCACAAGATTGCATTGGACATAGCCCGTGCACTGGCCTATCTGCATGATCAGTGTGTTCCCCGTGTTCTTCACCGTGATGTGAAGCCCAGCAATATCTTGTTAGATGACGATTTCAATGCTTATCTATCGGACTTTGGATTGGCTAGACTTCTGGGAACATCAGAGACACATGCTACCACTGGTGTAGCCGGAACATTTGGGTATGTTGCCCCTGAATATGCCATGACTTGCCGTGTTTCGGATAAGGCTGATGTGTATAGCTATGGTGTGGTGCTTCTGGAGTTGCTCTCAGACAAGAAGGCTTTGGACCCTTCATTTTCTTCTTTTGGAAATGGGTTCAACATAGTGGCATGGGCATGCATGCTATTGAAGCAAGGAAGGGCAAATGAGTTCTTCACTGCTGGGTTATGGGAAGCAGGACCTGGAGAGGATTTGGTAGAGGTTCTTCACTTGGCTATTGTCTGTACTGTTGACTCTCTCTCCACCAGACCTACAATGAAACAAGTTGTGAGAAGGCTCAAGCAGCTTCAACCCCCATCATTCTAGCCCACTTCTGTGGCTCATATTTTAACATTATTAATCTTAGAAATATTGTAAGCTGTAATTTAGCATTTTTGTGGATTTAGGTTGAGTTTCTAATTTGTACTTATTCTCCCCTGTACATTTTTATATAGTTGTAGCTCCAATTTTCCCGTACTTTTTTCTTGATTAGGTTAGGGGGCCTGCTGCTGGTTCTGCAGAAGAATGCAGATATTTGATTTCCCCTGCATTACATGTCTATTTGTTCAATAAAATTGAAGAATAGATTATGTTTTTTCAATTTCTTTTGTGCTCTTCTGCTAGATTTATCTCACTAATTATCTAAATTTATCTGATATTATAATTACTACAATCTTGTCATTTTTTGGAAAGTGTTACAATGTTATCTTTAAAACATTTGTCACTAAATCCTTATACTTTTTATGTTCATTATATACAGATACACTTCGAAATAATAGCTATGTTTTTAGTTATTTTGAACTTTCTATATATCTGACATAATTATTTCTAAGATACCTCCTTTGAAAATCAAATTTGAGAGTGCAAAGTATTAATTGACAGAAATTAGGTTAAAGTATTAATTTATTTGAATAAAATTAGTATTGTAGAAAAATTGAATTACATTATTGAAGGATTAATGTAAAAAATATCCTTGTAAAGCAATTTATGCTTTTAAGTTTTATTTTATATACCAATTCTATGCCGTTGTATCCCAATGTCTCTTTTCAAAATTTATACACCTATGTCCCTATATATTTTTTCCGTCATACTTTTCGTTATTATGACTAATTTATTTGTGTACCACAAAAAATTCTGGCAGTCTTAATAAGGTTCTTTTAACCTAATACATGAAAAGTCTACCAAAATAACACTTCTATTCTAATTGAACATTTTTCTTTAACAAAAAGTCTAGTGAAAACATTTAATAACATATATTTTTTATTTTATTGTTTTTTAAAATTTAAGAAAAAATCTTAAAATTTTAAAATAAATCGATTTAATAATATTAAAACATTATTATTATATTATTTAATTAAATACGTTTTTAATTTGATTTTGAATATAAAATTACGACCAGGCTTCAATTAGAGTTTTCATTTTTTTCCATAAAATAAATAATTAAAATTAATAAATTTTAAATTTATTATATATTTCAATTAGTTTATCAATTATTGATTACTTATTTAAAAAGTTGTAGAAAAATTAGGCAGGAAAAGGTGCACTTCGTTTAATTTTCGTTGCTGCTTTTCTTTGACGTTGAAAGGAATATATATAAATATATATAAGGATTAAATTTCTTAAGATAGTACTATTCATGGAAAACTACTACTGACAAAACTTATAGTAACCAGATAAAATCTAATAAAATAATATTTTATTATTATTATTATTATTATAAAAAATAATTATTTACAAAATATATACGTATCATATTAATTTATTTTCTTTCCTCACCATTTAATTTTTAAAAATTAATATAAAAAATACTTTTTTATTTTAATCGAAAAAAATAATTTAATATTAATACTTTGATTGTTTCTTTTTCCAAAATTTATATGGTGTTAAAATATATTTACTTTAAAAACGTAAAATATGTCATTCGAAAGCTAATTAAGAAAAAAAAAACATATTTTAAATTAGTTTTTAAAAATTAATGAACTCTTAAACTGATTTTTAAAAGCCGGTTAAAGAGTAAAAGGAGAAAAAAAGTAAAAAAAATTAATTTAATAAAATTTGAAAGCTATATTTGTAATTTTAGAAGTACAAGAGAGAAAAAAAAAAGGTAAGTCATAATTATTTTGTTATATTATCTTATATTATACCGACAGGTCTACACTATCGAGTCGGTTAACTGCATAGAAAGTCAATTCCAGAAATTCCAATACAAATTAGATCGAACAATTTCATACTGACTTGATGAACGTTCAATATCTTACACATCAAATATTTTACAATTTAGATTAACAAGGTAAAAATATACTTAGATGATATCGGGTTGCGATTGGGCTAATTTTAATCAAAAACCCATTTTGAAACCTATAAATACAGAGGTAATGTAAAAAGGTAAGTGGTTGCATTTATTGGACATTTCACTAGTGCGGTTAAAGGAATAAACATCGGTTATTTTCGGCCATGATTCGACTCGGTTCTCTTTGAACCGAGGCAGTATCAGTTCTTCCAAAATCTGATTCCTTCTGGGAGCCTTCAGATTGGGTATCCTCCGTGAATGTCATCCTCTAGAACAAGAACATTATTCACATTCAAGCTATTGACAGGGGGTGCCCATCCCCCTGGGGGAGAACAGGATAAGGAGAAAGGACAGTAGAGGGAAGTAGGTGGCGTCGTCGGTGCCGCCGGGGGCCTTGACGCAGACGTCCCAGAAGATCTTCTTTTGATAAGAGACGACCTGGAGAAGTAGAGATTGAAGACAGGAGGACCATGGCGATGGCGTAGTCGGAGGGTGGGGAGAGATTATTGAGGGCGATGTGAGCCTCCATGTGCGAACACTGAACGGAAGTCCTAAATCAGAATCGCGCCGCTGCTTGCCTTTACCTGCAACCACAACCAGACTTGCAAAAACTAGATTTAACACCATATAACCATCACGCAGGGATCCAATTCATAAACCGCTCCTCCGGAAGCAACGTGAACTGCATCAGCCATAATCGCACAACCATGACAACTCTCACGTCGGCATCGACATGCTTTAGGGATTCTAAACTCAGATTTGTGCAAGTTGATTTCTCTGATTGCATGTTGACGATGAAGGCACGAGGGAGATGGTTGCGTAGTTCTGGTGACGGTGGCGCAATTAAGGGTTTCTGTCGCAGAGTTGCAGGTCCAGTGATGGTGATGGAAGAAGGTTTAAACGCGGTGGCTGGCGCGACGGTGGAGAAGAGGGGTAGATGAAATTCGCGCCTAGGGTTCTGTTTTTGGATCTGTCTGAGTTTTCCTCTTTGCAGGTACGTGCGTGAGGAGGACGAAGGTGATGGCTGCGCGCGACTTGGAATGGTTGTGATTGTGTTCTCCGGTTGACGGTCATGGATGCGCTCATGGCGGAGAAGATGAAGATAGTGGTCGCTGCGTCCATGGAGTTTGGACGAGAACGAAGCTATAGTTCTCCACACTACATACATAAACATATTATATTTGTTGTTTTATTAATATATTTTTTCTTTTGAGTATTTTTATCATTCAAAAAATTAATTTGACGTTAAACCTTTTGTCCTTAAAGAAACTGCTGGGTATGGTTGTAATGTGTTGTATCCGGATAGGGAAAAATAATGTACAGAAACAGAAAGGCTGTAATGGCTTGTATCTGGAAATTTTTTCGTTTAGATTACTGACTTATTGAGATGTTCTTTTTTAATATTCTTGTGAGTAAAAATGTTGGAAATTGGATTTTATGATGTTGATAGACATTTAACAAAAATAGTTGTATACAAATTTAAGCACACAATTTTAAGTTTTAAGTTGTATAAAATTGTACAATTTTTTTTTGTTTTCACATTAACCTATGACAGTATGTAATATGCATTTTATGTATCTTCTAAAATTGTAAATTAATACTAGATATGGTTACATTTATAATAATATGACATTTATGTATAATATTAATTATCTTATTCTATTAAAATAAACTCAAACATATATCCAAGTCAATATAATATTTTAATTATTTTATTATGTGATATAAATTTATTATAGTTAAAATAATAAATTAAAAAAAAAAAGCTTGGACTGAAAATAAAAAGAAAAATAGAAATTGTTTGCTCGAGTAGGTGCGTAATGAAAATAAAAGAAACCACTCAACACTCTTCTTCTTTGTTACCAAATCTCTTATTCCTTCCATAGCGTTTGGATTACTATTGTTTACATGTAACACTGGTTAAGAGAGAACTTTGGCTAAGTAGGGTAACTACAGTTCAGTTGTGATGTGGATTACTAGTGAAAATTGAGCATAAAATTAAAGGAAAGACAGATAAAGGAACTAAAAGAAAAAAATGAAAATTTTCATATATATTTTTCTAACTCACAGAAACAGAGAAAAAGCCTAATAAATAGGCATAGAAAAGAACATAACAGAAAAACCGATAAGATCAACACATAAATTTTCCCAAACAAGAGCATACTTGAAAATTGTACAACATTAAAGGGATTGAAGACCTTGATTAAAATGAGCAACGAAAGTTTCCATTTCTTGCTTCTTCAACACCAAACTAATCTCAATTCCTCCATTCTCATTCCTACTTTCAGAAAGACAGAATGCTCCAGTTTTGCCTATGGATGTCATATCCACCTTCATTGGCCTTCCCCATCCAAAATCAATACTATATACCTCAAATCGTGGTGATCCTGCAGTTGTAAGTATTCGATTATCCCTCGCAATTTTCATAATTGTAGACATATTCACTGCCTCACTAAACACCCCATCCTCCAACTTCTTCAAAGCTTCATTCATCCCTTCAACACCATTGAGGAAACCATCATCTCCTAACAATTTCCTTGTTCCGTCCATAACCTTATGACCAATGATACAGTTTCCAAAATACGTGGAGGAAATGGGTGTCTTCATACGAGTCCTACAGTCCACACTGAACAAAAAGGCCACTCCATCAGTCTTAGGTTGTTCTGCCTTCACCAAACACTGCAACACATAAGCACACGCAACCAAATATGTTGACACATGAGCATTCTCACCGAGCTTAGATTTTGCATGTTGCTTCAGTTGTCGGATGTTTGAAGAGGTTAACTCGAACGACCCTCTGACTGATTCGGCTGACATTGCATTTACACCTCCAAGATCCCACACCTTCATGCTCCTATTGTTTGGTCCACCGATGTTCAACCAATTCTTCAAACACCTCGCACCGATTCCTTCGGTGTCGTTTATCGTTGACCTGTCATAGAATGGCGTGAGGTGTTTTGGCAACGACGAAAAAGATGATTCTGTGAAGTTATTGGAGCAAACATAGGCCCATGCTTTGAGAAACAAAGTCGTGGCTTTCCCATCCGTGGCTGCATGGTGTGTGGCTATTCCGATGGAAAAACCAGAACCAGGAAAAAGGGTAACCTGGAGGGCCATCACAGATGCTTGTTCATCGGAAGTGGGCAAGTGGGGTATCAGATGATGGAGAAGAGAAGCCTGACAGGTATTGGAACAAAGCATGTTGAAATCAGTGGTGGATTCAGCTATGGTGAAGGAAACGGCATTGCCTGGGACATAGTTGATGATGGGGTGTGGAGATTCAAGGGGCCATGTGATGGTGCCAGCAAGAGGAAGAAAGTGTTGGAGTGTGAGAGAAAGAGAGTGTTTGAGATTGGGAAGAATGGTGTCAAAGAAGGAGATGGTTGTGTTGGGAAGTTCATAGAAGAAAACACGTTCGACTGGGGGACTCCTTAACCATAGTAGGTCAAAGAATGTTAGAGACAAAGATGTCGGAGTGGAGCAATTGGTTGTTGCTGCTGCCTCTGATGGTGCCACACTGCAAACTTCAACAACTTTCACACTTCTTGCTTCCTCCATAGCTAAGAACTTCATTATGCTTCTGCAAAATCTTGTTCTAATATATTAACTTTGGAAAAGATTCACTTGTTCACGTGGTGTTCAGCAGCACCTGACACGAATAATAATGAATTGTTATTTTACTCTCACGTGGCATCGAACCCTAAGTTTCTTAATAATAATAAATAGGACCCGTGCTTACCCACGCGGGGTCTCTTTTTGTTTTCTTTTTTTCAATTTGTATTAAAAAATAAATATAATTAATATTATATTAAAATAAATAATTTATTTATGTAATTATATTTAATGTTATAGTTTTTTAAGAGTTTAATAACATGAAAAAGTAATAATTAATTATGAGTATTTTTATAATAAATGAATTATAAATAAAAAATATTATTCTAATAATGATTTTTTAATATTTAAATAATGAAGTATAAAAATTACACTTAACAAGAATATTAATACAAATAATAGTAATAACAACGAAAGTAAAAAAAAATATTTGAATATAAATTTATTTATTTTAAACTATAAAATTAACATAATTATTGATTACGTACAAATATTTTTGTTTTCTTTAAATAAATGTAAAATTTATTTAATAAAAAAAATGTGTATTCAATTCGAAGAATCAATATGTAACATCCCAAAAATACAGTAATAACCATATAATAGAATTAATTACATTTCATAATCAAACAGTGCAGTCTTACACTAATACCAACGTTCAAAAATCGAACGGCGTTAAGTACAGAGTTAATTCACAATATTACAGAAATAAGAAAGAATCAGGATCGAACGGTTTTACAAAACCAATTACCGAACGATCGCTTACAAAACAACTAACACCTAATACTACCGAACGACCTAAGGTTCGGCCTTAACTTCAACGTCCACCAGATTCTCCTCTTCAGTCACATCTTCCAACAATGTTTCTCCTTCTGCTCACATCCACACGGATGATCATTGCAATGACAAGATGGTCGTACAAGGACGAGACAACACAAGGAAAACACAGGGTAAGCTTATATAATTTAATTCATACATCACATAAAAATTAAACATTTCAACAACACAAGAATAGTTCAACACATATAACTATATGAAAGCTAGCACTAGACGGACCGTCCGGACTGTATGAATCTGTGTAGCTACAGGCGTTCTTGCACCCGGGTGATGTAGTAACTGGGATACACTCAACAGCTGCCACCCGAGGTTAGCCCTATCCAAAGTACCCCTAAGGACTAGGACCTCCTGCCGTTCCCACACATGACCTACCCTCCTCTACGTGAGGACGAGTACTCACGGAACATCAGGATGAACTGCCAGCTAAGCTTGCCACCTTCATACTTTACAATTCCAACTTTCTTTCATACGTGAGTCGTTCCTCCCCGGAACGCTCGTTCAACTTCACATAATTTTATTCATACTCAATCTCGTTTTCATCTTTCACTATCACTTTACTCAATTTTCTCTTTCATTTCCAATACGTTTAAATTCATCATTTGCTCTAAGAGTATAAAATACCGAACGTTCAAACCCCTTTAGAACGAGGACGAACGATAAGAATGACAATTTTCCCATTCAGAACAGAATAAGACTAAGAGAGTTACTTTTGGATTTAAGAAATGAACTAAGTAAACTAGTGAAATATGTGACGAACGGTATTTACCACATGAGTCAGTTGAATGAACTAACTCTCTCGAGTTCAAACCAATACTTAAGGAATAGGTCAAATATGGAGGCCTTAGGCCGGATCCAATAAAAGAAGACTAATCAAGATGTTAAGAAATTATATTTAGAATAGTTCACATACGGAAATCCAATGCCAGTATATGACCGAACATGGTAAAGGAAAATATTACTGAAGTTGGACGAACGCTATTTCAACAAGCTTGATAATTAAAGACAAGTATGAGCGTTCGGTATAAGACCGAACACTACTCATTAAGAGCACTAGGTATAAGACCAAACACTAATTAGTACGGACGCTAGGTGTAAGACCGAGCGCCACTTATTACGAGCGCTAGGTATAAGACCGAGCACTACTAGTCTTAAAGTATGAGGGTATATATATGTATTACTTTATTTCGGATATCTGGGTACAACTATGCTTGGACGAACGCTCAAACATAGTGTTCCACATGAGGACGCTCGTCCTTGATTAGAATTCTCTCCAAATGAAAGAATTCCAGTTTTAAACAGTTTACTAGAAAATCCGAGCGGTAGAGGACCGTTCGATTACGAACGTAAATTATCATAGTGGACATTTCATATTCAGATTTTCATTTATCTCAAATTCAAATTTCAACACATTGGTTCATAACCTTATAACTTCACTCCAATATCAATTTACATACTTTATAGAATCCATATTTATAATTCATACTCCAAAACGATTACTCATATTCACATTCATACATATCAACCATGACCATACATATCAACCAGCATGCACCATATTCACTCAGTCAAACAACGGACGTTCATACAAAACAACTACATACAGATTAAATTAAATAAGCTTCCCTTACCTGGATCAGTGAGTGAAATGTCCTAAACGTAAGATTTTGGGTTCGTCCGCCTACAGCTTTCTACCCTCAAAGATCACTTAACTCTTCCAACTAAATTTAACCAAAACAAAATCAAGAATAACTTAAATTATACCTCCTTCATGCAACCAGAATTTGGCTTTGCATGTAACAAAAGAACACACGATGAAGAAGAGAAACTTACTAGCTCAAACTTGAAACTTGTTCGGTTTAAGAGGAAACTTGGGACGCCGGGAATACTCCTACGGTCTCTGAATGATGAACGGAGAAGAGAAGAATGAGTTACAGTAGAGAGAAGGGAAACTTCTAGAGAGAAGGAGGAGGAAATGGAAAATCAGAATTTGGAAAGGAGAAGGTGCATGCAGAGGAGAGTGGGCTGGGTTTTCAGAAAAATCATTTTTGTCTGCCCCACGTCCAAACGGACGTGCGCTCTCCTGTAGACACCTGTCCTCCACTACTGATTTTCGAATCTTCCATTCTTGACACCTGGCGTCAGTTTACAGAGTTTTGGGTGCGTTTTAATGATTCTGAGTAGGGGTTTTTGGGTGCATTAAATGAGATTAAATAGGTGGGGTTTGGGTTAAATTTCCAAGGTCTGACACAATCCAATATTTAAAAAACCTATTTGTTATATCTTTAGAAATGTACATTTAATATATAAATTTATTTAATGAATAAATGTATATTTAAATTAGAAGAGTCCATTCTTTATCTATTTCAATAATAATTTTTCAATAAATATATTTTTATAATTTATTATTTTTAAAGTTATAATATACTTTTTATATAATTTTGTCCTTATTTTTGTTAATTTTGTTCGTTGTGGTTCTAATTTTTGTAATTTATGTTTAATTTGGTGTTTTTTTTCATGACATCGTCTAAATTGTTAATGCTATAGTGTCAACATGGATAATGTTTGAATGAGTTGTTGGATTATTGCTTATGTGGTCATCCTACACAATTCTTATGTGACAATGCAACGTTACTTCATTCCTTCACCATCGTGAATGCAACCACCATTGGAGCCAACACTAGAGTAGCTTCGTTCCTCTACAATCGTATCTTCATTGTCTCTGCTTCCTTATCATCTCCTTCACACCTCTCTCTTGTTCTTGAGTCCCTCTCCCCTAGGCCATCCAATAGGATCACCACACCCAAGACCCCTTTGATTTCTCTCAACAAAAAATTTATACTTTGAACGAAAGCCAAGATGGAAAATTTGTGTGAAATGTCATGGGAATCGCTTGAAGCCAAAATTGCAATGTGGAATCTAGTCTTTTGGCATTGCGCCACCATGCTTTTCAAGTCTAAACGAAAGCTTTATGAATCCATCTTCCTCAATCACAAACCCCAAAATCACTCCCAAAATTAAGATTTTTGTGATGGTGGTGTCGCAATTTGTGCTTGCAATTTCCAAGTCTCTCTTTCAATTTAGGGAATTAAGCCCACACGAATTTCTATTTTCATCTTTTTGGTTTTATTTCTTAGGATTTGTGGGTGGTTATGTGAATGGTGAACGAATATGGTGGCGCGATTTGGGTTTGGTTTATCTACAGGTTTTGTGTGAACAAAGATGGTAATGATGGTGACACATTTTGGCTTTGGTTTTTCTGTAGGTTTTGCGTGAATGTAGATGGTGACAATGGTGGTGCCATTTGGATTTGTTATTTTTTGGCATGAAAAATGACCAAATTGAACATAAATTACGAAAATTGAGACCATATTAAACACACAAAAAAGTCCAGATTGAACAAAGTCGAAGAAAATAAGGACCAAAAGTGTATTAAACCTATTACTTTTAATATGTACTATTACTTTGGTACCATATGTAGATACTGACCATACCACCATTGCAAAGCTACACCTTCAATGGATCATTATGAGTCTTGGCATTACAAATAGTGTTAATGATAGAGGACTATCTTTGGATCCTATACAGGAAGAATTTCATGAAGATCCATTACAATTCAAATGACTTATGAACAAAACTCTTAGAAAAACAAATCTCGTGAGGACTCGTGATGCTCCATGAAGCTTGGAATTTAAATGAAATAAAGATCATTACTTGGATCACCTGGGCAATTAAAAGTTTTATAATTTTAATTTAATATGCAATTAAGAGTTTTATAATTTTATTTTAATTTTGTAAGTTTGTTATGCAAGAAAGGTTTTTCGTTACATGAATAATTTGTTTCTGTTTTTAAATTTTCAAGTTATTTTTGGATATGATGTCTTGGGATTTTCTTTTAGAGTTTCTTAAATTGTTTAAATATTTGTGCCTATATATAAGGGAACCAATATATATATATATATATATATATACCTTGATTAGTTAATATATGAATTTTGAATTCAGTAAGAGAGGATTCTCGTTTTTAAAGACATTTATCGCAACTTTAGGAGTATCACACATATTTCTTGTCTTTAAAGACATTTAACTATATGTTTTTCCCCACCATACACCAAAAATAGGGGCATTTTCGTGGTTCTCATATGTGCCCCCACTTTAATTCTGATAATATTTTACTTT